TGTAGGGCGGAAAACAATTCAGCACTCACATGGCCGCGTAAGTTTTTTTTTTTTTTTTAAGTTTCGAAAGTAAGGATTGCACAGCACTAACCTAGATATGTTAGCAATATTTCTATTTTTGGTCTTTTTTTCTATCAATTCACCCCAAACAAGGTGATAATGTCACTAGTACGTAAGTGGTTATCGGGTGTTAAATAGAATGGGAAGGAACCGGAAACCCAATCCTAAAATGGAAACAAAGGATAAACCTCTACTCCTGTTCCAAAAAAAGGCGAGGAGTGTGAATCGGATGAAAGGCTAACCTCTCTAAATCTATTAAAAAGACAAAGAAAACATAAATAAATAAATAAATAAATAAATAAATAAATAAAATTCAGAGTTCAGGCGGCGATGTGAGAAGTACAGAGTTGAAGGAGACTTTAGAAAAAAACCGGAAACGCAATCCTAAAAAGAAAACCAGGAATAAACTTCGATTCTTAATCAAAAGACCGGTATGGGGTATAAAACGGATAATAGGTGATCTCTCTCTCTCTCTATATATATATATATATAGATATATATATATATATATATATATATAGCAAAGTAAACCTAAAGAACCAGACAAACCAACCTAGGTTTCACCTACGCGGATCGTCAGGGCAGACTGGCTGGCGATCCGCGTAGGTCAAATCTAGGTAGGTTTGTCTGGCTCTTTAGATATACTTTGATTATTTGCTCTACTTTGTTTAGTTATTTTATTTACTCGTATCGGAGGTATTTTCTTTGGACTCTGAACTTAGATTTTAGACATTTACTTTCGCCGGAAGTTCATGTTCTTTCTTTTTTTACCCTTTTTTCCCTTGGGTATTGGTTGATTTACAAGCTAAAACACCTAAGGTTTTGCCGGACGAGTATAACTGCTTATATTTATAAGATTACTAGCAGTAGAGCCCGGCGTTGCCCGGGGATGTAACAGTAAGAGATAGATCAAGTATCGACCACCATAAAGACTGAAAAATAAAATTGACAAAGATTATTGTTTAAGGTTGACGGACACGCATGTCTTAATTAGTTTTTTGTTTTGTTTTTACGAATTGGTCAAACCCAAACTCAAACAAAAACATTGTTTTCAATCGTTATGAGTCTACCGATTGAATAGAATTTTATTATAAACAATTGTCTTGTAAATGAAATTTTTAAAGCATTCTAAAAATGTAAAAATAAAGAAAAAAGTGTGTAAGACAATAAGAAACACTACCTGCCAAGTGGAGTTTTATTGAAATCGGTTGAAAAATGGAGGAAATCCAATCCCATATATAAACGAACACACACACACGCACACACAAACAAACAACCTGGGTTTTATAATAAGTATAACTCGAAATGAATTCTCCCACTTTCATTCATGCTTCTTAATCGTGTTTTCAAATTGATTTCGTGCAAAAACACTTGTGTTTTTCCAATTTTTGGCGCAGTCAGAACCACCGCAAGGTAATTTTATGTAGTCCTGTGAAGTTTTGTTGAAATCGGTTGAAAAATGTAGGAAATCCTATCCAATATATAAACAAACAGACACACACACACAACGTGGTTTTTAAAATAAGTATGATTAGTGTTATATATATATATATATATATTAACTGATTTAAAATGTTTTTCGCTACACAGTAATAACCATGTTTCAAAAACTAAAGCTAAAAACTTCAAATTTAATTATATAATTAAATTAAAAACATTAGTTCTGTTTCATCTTCAAGCGAATATTGGAATAACTTATTTTTAAATTTACTGAGTTTTAAACGCACATATAAATTCATAATTTCCTGTTTCCAAGGATACAGAGAAATCTAATCATTCAGACAGGGGCGGTAGCGTGTTTTTTTTGTTATCTATTGTTGTATCAATTATGAGTTACGTTCGAAAATAGGTTAAGTTTAGGGAGGGTAGGCGTGTATTTTTCAACGAATTCTGACATCCGTTAAACGCGTGTCGTGACTTTTTTTTTTATATATTGCGCACACACCTCTATTTCGTCAATTTCTTGCTATTTCTTCTTATCCTCCCTTCATTGAGACGTAAAATAAATCTTGAATATATAAACGACAAATTTTGTCAGTCCGTCCGTGTAAGTGAAAAACTCGGGCGACACTTGATCTACATAGACATATATTTTTTTGGCAGGGGAGAATCAGGATGACCCCTGGATTGCTTGAATATCCAGAACTGGGATATATGTCTGGATGAGGATGATAAATAAAACAAAACACTGTGAATTTAAAAATGTGTTTTAAATTCAGTTTAAAATATCTACAAAACGTTGTGAATTAAGAAAATCATTTGTATTTCAGATAAAAATTTTGAAATTCCTCAAAATTTTTGATACGATGGACTCAACTCAATTGAAGTCATACGGAGTTTGTGATTTAAAAAAAAATCAATTTTCGGTCTCAGTTAGAATTTCTGTTTAAATAGGACTTTCGGCTCAATTCGGACTCTGTCTTTTGCCCGGAATTGGAATAGTCCGAATCAGAGTTAAAGTGAGGGTTTGAAGTCCGATATAGGGTATTGAGGAATTCAAAGTTATTTCTTCAAAATTATCATTGCTGTTGCTATCATCTAAGCTGGACCAGAGGTCCCCGTAGTTTTGGGCCAGAGATCTGATCAGCCCTCCCCAGGAGCTAGCTTAAATGTCCGTAGCTAGTATTAATAATAATAATAATAATAAATTCAGAAGACATGTTTTTGTCCACTTGCACCAAAGCTTACTTCAATTTAAAATTAATTATTACTTTTTTGTTTCATTTAATCAACACTCTTATCAGAAAAAGGATCGGAAAGTCTGATTTGGCTATACGAGTTCAAATCCAGCGAAATATTGTTGCATTTGTTTTATATGGCTATTCACAGATAATAAAGAAAAAACTTTATAAGAAGCAGTAATCATTACAGAGTTAACTATACTTTGTTTTTATTTACAATGTCAAGTTTTAATCTCTACCTTCATCTTTCAGAACTGCGTACGGCTGATATTGTCTTTTTTCTTTCATTCGTAATAGTAATCAGTTAACAATAGCCAAGGGAATAACGGTTTCAAATGAAAGGACAACAGATTTGAGATTGAATAACATTAGGGAGAGGATCACGCTTCTGAAATTTAAAAAAACAAAACAACAACCCAGTATTGTTTTGATTAGGACAAATGTCATGGGTAGAGGAAGACCAAAAGAATAAAATTCTAAACAACATTTTGTTCTTTGGTATAGTTCTGTTCTTGAGATTCTGTAGCGTCACCCCCCAAGAATCGAAGAACTCTGGTCCCCGCTATGACCTACAGACCTCATTCCCCTTGAAACAATTTTTATACATTGATCTGGAAAATCAGTTGCATGCAGCTGAGAAGATTAGATGTTTCTGAACAATTTTAACGTTATACTGTTTTTATGCAACCTCCAAACAAAGCGAGAGTTCCACGAGCAAGCAAAGAGTTATAGAGAGTGAGAGCAAGAGTAAAGAGAGCTTGGGAAAAAGAATAAAGAGAAGGACAGGGATCAAGGCATCAGAAGATGTCGATTGACATTGCATTTGAATATTTGAAGATGATAGCTATCAGGGAAACAAGTAGGAGGAAACGGGATCCACAGACGGGAGGTGCAAGATAAGAAGCTGTTGGAGTAGAAGAGATAGCTATATTTAGCCGTTTCGACAGTGTAAGGGTGGGACCGTGATACCAACCCTAAATTCTTGCAGTTTGGGAACCAGTGAAAGTATCTTGTCGGAGCAGTTGTCATAAAAGTACTTGTAGAAAAGACAGAGGGAAGCCATAGCACGTCTACGAGAAAGTGACTGTAGACGGGATGCCAGATCAGGACCAATAACGTTGCATATTCGTTTCTGGATTTGGTTGAGGACCTCGAGATGAACAGCGAGGGCACCATACTATAAATGGCAGCAATATTCCAAGCAAGGAGGAATGGTTGATTTGTAGATCTGAAGGCGAGAAAAACTTTCTGGCGCGAAATAGATAACCAAATTTCCTTGTGGTAGATGAAGCTATAGACTGAATGTAGTTGTTCCACTACAATTCTCAATATGACGAGGTTATTTAAGAACATGACTCGTGATGTTCGGTTAATATGTTCGTTTTGTAGCAAATTGCCTTGTGGCCGGAACTGCCCCTAGCACAATTTATTTTCTGTTCAATTCCTCTATCATCTGTACTGAATTTATTAGAGGAAACCTTCTACTTCGATTAGCCCCAAGCTTTATATAAAAAGAACCTCACTGCAAAAAACAAAGAATAAATTCACAAAAGAAAAAAATATTGTCTTGCATTTTATATTTTACGAGCGGAGCATTTAAATTATATAGTTCCAAAACATAGCTAAGTTAAAAAAAATACTTATATAGCAAAACAATTTTTTTTTGCAGTCGTTCACAAATCTGAAAACACAGGTTCCTGTAAAATCATCGACGTTAAGCAACGTCTAGGCTGGTCACTACCTAGCTGGCTGACCGGTTCGAAATACCATAGGCTGTAAGTTTAGATGTGCGTATGGTCTAATTGAAAATAGCTCGGAATTGTCAAGCAGGGAACTTGAGTTCAAATTACCATTCGGGCGTAAATAAATTTGGGAAAAGTTATGAGCCCACCACTTCTCCCCCAGTTAGGGGTTAATTATTAAAACATGTATCGCTCAAAACATTATCATCACGAAAAAAAATATTATTCTTACAATCTAAAAATAGTTTCTGAATTAAATAACTTGCAAAGACTTGATAAGCCGGAGAAAACGAACCAATGAAAAAAAAAAGTTAAGAAATATGAAATCTGAGCAAATTTATTTTCTATATTTTTCTACGTAAATGCAGCACATCGGAATATAATTCAAGTAAAATGAGAATGAATTGGAGGAGGGGAGATTTTCTTTTTCATTTTCTTTTTCTTTTCGTCAGGCAGGTGTTCTAATGTGACTCCATCCGCGACTGAAATTCTTCGCGGGAAATTGCAGTTAATTCACATGAGTAGAAACGGCTCTATAAACATGACAAGTATTTCTAATACGTCGAGTGATCTCCCTTGCGAGCGGCCGGTTTGCATTGAGTGCGTCCCTGGAGATACAAAACTGAACAAGTCCGGGCCGGGAGAAATCCACCAGCTGCCAATTTGAAAGGAAGAAAGACTCATTGATATTGACAAATATTTCGGCAGCACGTGAATTTTGCATACTTCGTTGAGTTGATACTCAAAACCTTTTCCTTAAATGAATGCACATTTATACGCACCAAATCCACAGTTACTCACAAACACATACACACACTGGGTGTATGTAAGAGAAAGAGAAATAGAAAGAAAGAGAGAGGCATAGAGAGAGGAAGATAGAATGTAAGAGAGAGAAAGGTAATGCATGTGAAAGCCCAGGCGTGGTTACAACGCGCCCGCAATAACATCCCTAGTTTCATCTAAATATATACATATATACATATGAATATATATATATGAATATTTGCACATGCATACATCTACTTATATTTTTCATATATATATATGTGTGTGTGTGTGTGTGTTTGTGCATATGTCTCTTTCTGCATGAGTGTGCATATAAATATTTGCACATGCATATATATATATACTTATATTTTTGATATATATGTGTGTGTGTGTGTGTGCCCTTGCGTGGGTGTGCATGTTTGTGCACATGAATATTTGCGCACACACACACATATATATATATATATATATATATATACTTTTATTTTTCATATATATCTGTGTGGGTGTGCGTGTGCATATGAATATTTGCACATGCATTTATATATACTTATATTTTTCATATATATGTGTGTGTGCATGACTATGTGCATGTATGTGTATATGAATTTTTCACATGCATATATATATATATACTTATATTTTCATATGTATGTATGAAAAATATAAGTATGTATATATATATATATATATATATATATATATATATATATATATATATATATATATATATCTGTGTTTCTGTGTGTCTGTGTGTGTGATACATATACGGATGCATGTACAAATATTCATATATAACCAGACTGTTTCGATGTACCATAGCTCATCTGGGGTAGTAGATATGCGATTGCTTCAGGGCAGGGATCGAAACCTGACCAATCTGACATCGGATTCTCAGGTATAGTTACAGGTATAGAAAAATAGAAAAGAACACGTTGGATGCATAATCCGGAGTTCCTTAGTATTTTTGTTTTTATTTTTAAGAAGACAGTGCTCTATGCAGAAGTAGAGCTTATATTATAATATGTTTTGTTTAAAAATATGATTCCTTCGCAACATAAGAGTTCTCATGTTTCAAAAATTAGACCCGAAACCATGCAAATACTTATTAAAATTAATTTTAATTAAGGTGTTTAGTCCCGTTTCATCTTCAAGCGAAAATTTAGGAATAAGCTAATATTAGCTTATTATAAAATAAAATTTAGGAATAAGATATTCCGACAACACAGTAGTTTTTATAACACAGATCTGAAAAATAGCGATACAAAAACGCTGACATAACCTATAGAAACGATAGTACCAATAAGAGGAAAAGAAAGATCATCTGGTATACTGTGGCACCATGCATAATTAGAAAACTGAAAAGAGATATTCATAAATATATGATTTATTTTTTCGGTTTGTTAACCATTTGATAGTTATTTAGAGATGAAGAATATTTGGGTTTTGAGAATAATTCTCTAATTGCGTTTAGGCGATCTGAGGGAAAGGAAGAGATGGAAAGAAAGAAAAAGAAAGAGAAGTAGATGGTACAAAACCCGGTCAAAAGCACACACGCTTAACTGGCACATAACAGGTGTCAAAAAGATATCTAGGTCAAAGTACCTGACCGAAATCCACGAAAAATGGAAGTTGTTATAATTGGTTGAAGAAATAGAGTTTAGAGATAATTAAAAAAAGAAAAGGAAAGACAGAAACATAATACGAAACAAGGTCGTAAGCGAAAACACACACGCTCGACTGGCACATATCAGATGTCAAAATTATCAGGTCAAGACTTGATCTAATTCCGTGTCCACGGAAGATGGAAGTTTGTTAAAGTTGGCTGAAGAAATAAAATTTTAGGGACAATGAAAAATATTGATAAGTAACAAAATGAAAAGGGTGTCATTGAGATGATAGGTAACAGATGGGGGAAATGTATACGAAAAACAAAACATTAATACACGGGACCCAGACAATTTCTGGGGTTGGAAAAAAACCACCCAAAGTGAAAATGCTTTTTTGAGATAATGTAGATTTTATTATCGGCCAGAGAAAAATGGAATATTTGTATTAGCTCGCGAGAGACGCCGACAGGTCTGGAAAAATTCCTTTCGTAGATCGCATCCAATTAGCGGCAGGCTGTTTTGACAGATGCCACGTGCGGAAGGGACCGATAGCGTCATTCGATCGTACGAAAAGGACAATTTAATTTTTTTTTTTTTAAGCAAGGTGTTTCTTCCCCCCAGAACAAAGCCCCGGATTGTACACGCCCGATTAGAGACGTCACGAAGGAAGGAGGGAAGATACCGACCAGAGTCTCATTAGCCGAGGGCAGTCACATGATACATGAGGGAGGAGGAGAGACACCCGACCAGAGTCTCATTGGCCGAGAGCGGTCACGTGATGTGCGAGGGAGGAGGAAAGATGCCCGACCAGGACCCCATTGGTCGAGAGCGGTCACCTGACATACGAGGGACCAGGGGAAGCGGGTATGCGCCTCCCCCCAGAGGCACAGTAAGGAAGTATGAGTGAAAGTAAGAGCGATAATGGGAAATCCCTAATCAGAAATAATACGACTTTAGAATTATCAAGAAAACCCTGGCGCCGACAGACCCACCCCAGTTTGTTACGGCGTCAATAAAAAGCAGGACCCCAATCGACAGAAATCAGTTGCAGTTACGCCGCGGACCTACAAATTCAAAAAAGAAATCGGAAAATATAAAATATAAAAGGTTTCCTAGGTAACTGACATCACAATCTGATAGTTTTCTGATATTTTATATACCGAGGTAGGTATATATGTAGACTTAATAGATGTATACGTGTTAATCACTCAATTTTTTTTTTTATTTGTTAACGTTTTTTCTTCCTCAGTAGTCTTTTTAAGTACAAATTAATTTCCTCTTCGGAATTCATATATATATATATTTTTATATATATATATATATATATATATATATATATATATATTTTTTCCTTGGGCATTGGTTTGTTCAATTACAAGCCAAAATACCTAAGGTTTTTCCAAACGAGTAATAATATATATATATATATATATATATATATATATATATATATATATATATATATAGGGTGTTTTAAAAGTTCATATAAATTTTGAAGCTTTGGCAAGATATAATTAAAGCAACTAAAACCAACTTACACTAATTTAAATAATGGACGGGGAGATAGAACTTATCATAAATGCATTCTATTAAGATTTTGACATCTGATGTTTTCAAATTGATATCCGGTCTGACATTGCTGACAACGTAACACAAAATCAATCCCAAACTGTCGTCATCATTTCCATAGATTACTTTGACTTCTGTGAAAAGCTTTCAAATACCCTTTCTTGCTCCACGGTGTCGTTGATATTCGTAGTCTTCCAAAGTGGTTCTTATGCGCACCTTGTACAGTATCATCAGAATCAGACTTATTTCTCATTCCTGCAAATGTAAGCCGCTTGCGAAGATCTGAATCGAAATCTCTTCGATACTGCCATTGATCTTCAACTGAATTTTCTTACTTCCACGAGCATTATTAGGATGAACTTGCTTTGTTCAAAGCTAAGACCGGATGACATTTGTAATACTAACGAGTAACTCTAAAAAAGATTTTTTAAAAAATTAAAAAACAAGCAAAATGACTTGATCTATACACTGTAAAAAATGTATATATATATATTTTTGCAACATCCAGTATATGAATAAAGACAAAGAAAAATTTTGTTTCCCAATGCCATTTGTGCACTTAGGCACATTATTAATGTTAATTTAAGGATTTTATTTGAAAGGATGTATTTATAAACAAGATTGAAAATAACTTTTGGTATACAATTTTAAATTTAAGAACATTGTAAATTATTCTTAAAGCTAACACTGGAAGTAAGAGTAAAAAGTGATTTTATTTCCTTATTGGTATATATATATATATATATATATATATATATATATATATATATATATATGTATGTATGTATTATAAAATGGACAAAGTCCTACAATTATTTTTAAGACAAATGTTTATACATTCTTTTTATAGATACAAATATTTAAGTAAATGTTTTTTTTTATAATAAAAAAAATAATCGGACTTTGTCCATTTCATAATGTGTGACGTCATTTGTTTACATTTGGATACGCTTTGAGCAGATATGAATGTATGTGAGAGATTCATGGAAGATGGTAATTTAAAAGCTGTAAAATCGACCTTGCTAGCCGAACGATCCTCTGTGGCTCAATCAGTTAAGTCACTTCAGGCTATATATATATATATATATATATATATATATATATATATAGAGCAACCTCAGTTGTCAAACATCTCACATGTTGAACAAATCGGTTTTCAAACAGAAAATTCGAGAAAAAAAAACTGACTCAGTTATCGAACAAAATTTCGGTTGTCGAACAATATAGCCGAACCGAGTAAACATGAACGGAATTATTTCTAAGTGGACCGGCGTGTTGTATACATTCCTGTGTTGTATCGTCCTTTTCTTTTCTTATTTTATTGTAATGTGACTTTTTCTCTACATTGATTCCTATTGGAAAAATAGTTTCGGTTTACGACCATTTCGGCTTACGAACGGCCTTCATGAAAGAATTAGAATTAATTCAAGGATCGTCTTCGCCCTCTCTAAACTTCTAACTTTCTGTCCTGGTGTAACAAGATGCCTCACGCATTTCCCGTACGATTTCATTTTCAACTCTTTTTTTCACTGCCCTTTGGACTGTCATTGCTGGAACTCCTCTCTCACGTGCCAAACATGTTATGGATTTGGACTTTTCTAATTGATCTCTTTAGCTCCAAGTTGAAAGGATGATCCCACTTCCTGCTGTGACCTCCTAATCCAGTTTTCCTCCTTACTGTTCCCTCTTTTTAAAATTTATTCACCGTTCTCTTGACGATTCTTGAATGGACTTTGAAGATGGGAGCCAGCATATGAGTATTGGTACCAATAATGCA